GTGATAGGTGGAAATTAAGTGTTAACTGTACAAAGACAAAGGTTTTGATTTTTTAAAAAGGGGGTAGACTTAGACAGAATTTGAATTTTTATTATAAAGGTCAGTCAATTGAAATAGTTAAAAAGTTTACATATCTAGGCATTGTTTTTTCTGTTGGTGGATCTTTTAATATGACTTTTGAAATACTCTCTGGACAAGCATTGAAGGCGTTGTATAAACTTGAAAAAGAGCTGATAAGATTCCCTTGTATGTCAGTTAAACATAAACTGGATTTATTTGATAAACTTATTTTACCAATTCTTAACTATGGATCACAAATATGGGGTTTACTTGATAGTCATGTATTAGAAAATATTCATTTAAAGTATTGTAAGAAGTTGTTAGGAGTTAAAAGACAAACACAAAACAATTTTATCTATGGTGAACTTGGAAGGACATCTTTAAAAACAATGAGAGCTATTAATGTTATAAAATACTGGTTAAAAGTTGTTCAGTTAAGTAGTACAAAATATGTCAAAGTTGTATATGATCTTATGTGTAGAGATTTAGAACTTAAACCGAATTCAAAGTCCTGGACTAAGTCTGTTATGATTTTGTTACAATCTTTAGGTTTCAATGAAGTATGGATTAATCAGGGTGTTGGTGATATAAATTATTTTTAGCAGTAGTTGATATAAATTATTTTTAGCAGTAGTAAAACAAAGATTAACAGATACATTTATACAAAATTGGTATGCAACTTTAAGAGATTCATCAAGAGCAAGAAGTTATGTATTATTTTGTGATTTTGGTTTTAAGTCATATCTGTCAATGGTTAATATTGAAAAATTTAGGAAATCTTTATCACGTTTCAGGACTTCTTCGCATAGATTAAAAGTAGAAACTGGTAGATGGCATAAACCTGAAGCAATTCCTTATAATGAAAGAAAATGTAATATTTGCTTAAAACTAGAAGATGATTTTCATGTATGATTTTAGAATGTCCACAATACAATGTTTTGAGGAAACAGCTCATAGATAAATATTATTGGAAAAAACCAAATATACCAAAATTTATTGAATTGTTAACATCTCAAAATGAAAATGTTATAAGAAAATTATCAATGTTTATCTTTAAAATGTTTGAATTAAGAACAAATGTTGAATATTCGTAAATTATAGTACCTAGGAAGGTAAATGTAATGTTACTTAATTGATATCATTATACAAAACCTGTGCTTCATTTAAACCTTGCTGTAATATGTTATTCTGTTCATATTAAAGCAAACTTATGACTCAAATATACAGTAAATGTTAAATATATGTTATATATGTTTAACGACCTTGATATTATGTTTCTGTATGTATGTATGTTTGTATATGTGCTGTGTGCTCATGGGTATAATACCCACATGTATTTGGAATAAAATCTTAAATCTTAAAATCTTATGATGTTTATCGTATGCTTTGTAAGGAGGTTAATGTAATAAAAATCAAATGTACTTTGTAAATGATTACATAACAAATTTAAATACAACTATTGTTGATCAATTGATTTAGAAGAAATAAAAAAAAAACTTGTTCAGTCATGACGATTGTACACTTACAAATTTCATATAATTTGCATGATGTGATACTGTTTTGCTAAATATTGATCAATATAAATCCATACACTCAGTTTGATGTTATAAACAATTAGTTTAAATGGATAAGTTAATGTCAACAAAATCAACTTTGATTTTTGAGGGTATCTAAAATGTATGATATTTAGTTGACAAAACTTATCAGTACACAAACACAATCGTGTGAATATTTATTCTCAGTAAAATAAATGTTAAACTACAATTGTATTCAATGTTGTGGTATAAAAGTGACATTATGCCAGTCCAATGGTAAATGGACAGTAAAAAAGTAAAACCAAAACAACTTTTGCCATAATAGTGATTGTTTTATTTTTTTAATTTGCAAATAATCAATAATCCACGTGACAAAGGGAAAATTCGATACAAATCTTGCAGAATGATTGATTATCGTTCAATTCTTAAAAAAGAGTAGGGCAGTCTTTTTATAACTTAGGTCATCATTATTGTATCATATACTCTACATGGTAAACAATTATTCATTACATTCTAAGCATTTGTTGTTCTTAGCAGTAATTCTTCTATGTTGAACAGTGACAAGTATGTAAGTTGTGTAAATAATAAGAAACTGTATGAAAGTCACTGTTCAGGAAAGTCATCTGCAATAAATCCTATCTGCAAAAACTTTAAATGAACTTGTCGTTAAGACAAATGTATTTGGTTAATTGTTATCTATGTCCATAAGCAAGTAAATTCACAAAAATGATTATCTGATTTCGGATAACTTGGCACTTTCGTAAGTGCTGTAAACTATTTACTATAATCTTCTTTTTTACATCATGTATACATTAAATAATATTGTATCACTTATGCCAATACTATAATTATGATAAACGAAATACAAATTGAAATATGTTAAACGGAATACGCATTTTAATATATTATACAAAATACACATCGTGGTATGTTATACGGACTACGCAATATGTAATATGTGTACGTAATGCAAATTGTAGTTTGTTATAAAGAATAAACATTGTCATATGTTATACGTATTATACGTATTATAATATGTTTATGGAATAGTGATTGTAATATGTTATACGGAATACGCATTGTTATACGTGTACAAAATACGCAGTGTAATATGTTAATAAGAAATTTAAATGTTAATATGATTTATGGAATACGCTTTTTTATTCTATGAAAAAGTAATTGACGCTAAGGACGTTTATACCATTGTGGAAAAGAAGATTTAATAAATTGAAAGTTATTATGTTCTTAGAAAATTTATGTATGATTTGGAAAGTATGTAGATTCTTGTAGTTTACTGTTTTGCTGCTGATTGATTTTATATTGCTAAGGATGCTTCTTGTATCAAGTTTCTTTTATGCCGTGGATGATTATTATGTGCCATAGATGAATTGTGTATGTAATGGATAATTCTTGAATGCCGCGAAAGATTCTTGTATGTCGATGATGATTCTTGTATGACGAATATATTTCTTTTAAGCCGAGGATCTTCATTGTATGCTATAGATATGTTTTGTATGTTATGGGTTTTTTATTTGTATGCCGAGGATACTTTTTGTGTGCCGATGAAGTGTCTTTTACGCCGAACATATTTCTTTTATGCCGATGATATTTCTTTCATGCTTATGATGTTTATCGTATGCTTTGTAAGGAGGTTGATATTATAGAAATCAAATGTACATTGTAAATGATTAGATAACAAATTTAAAAATTCTGAAACACAATTTTTTTATGGTTTTAAATCATGCATATGATGCTCAAATTAAGATTTATCAATATTTTAGGTTCTAAAAAGCATTACTACCGAATTTTTTCATGTAAATAAAGGAAGGCAATAAAAAATGATTTTCTATAAAGTTTATTATAAGTTAAAGTTTACGATAAGAAATGAAGGCATATATTTTAATGATTACATACAAAGGGCACAAATATTTGCAGTACATATTTTACATATTCTTCGATGTTTGAAAACTGTATTATTTGCATAATTATGTACATATACATGTATATAATTTCACTTTACCAATTTACCACTTTGATCACAATATACAGGATCTTTAAATACTACAAATGTTGATCAATTGATTTAAAAGAAATAAAAAACGTTTTCAGTCATGACGGTTGCACACTAATAAATTCCATGTAATTTGCATGATGTGATACTGTTTTGCTAATATTGATCAATATAAATCCATACAATCATTATTTTGCAATCGGTTCGATGTTATAAACAATTAGTTTAACTGAATAAGTTAATTTAAAAAATATCAACTTTGATTTTTTTAGGATATCTAAAATTATGTTATGTTAGATATACTTGCCAGGAAGCCAATGATAAATTTAAGTATTTTATCTTCACTTCGTATCGAAGATTTGTTACATTTCAATCAGTATATGTTTTATGTATGTATATTCTGTAAGAAAAATAATTGTGGGTCGCTTAAAAAAAGTACAGACAACACAAAAGTATGCATTTTGTTTGGGCCAACTCGTATAGCTTTTGAAAAAGGAAATGAATCAAGAACCTAAAAACTGTTGCTATTATAGTGCTCTAAGTGAGATGAATACACAGGAGTAGCTCTGCCAAGGATTGTCATATTATCACGGCGTAGCAAAGTATCATTTGATAAGAAATAGAACTGTTATTGATTTCACTCTTTTTTGTCCAAATGCTGCATTCGAGAACAAATCATAGTTCGCTCGCAGATTGAATTATGAAACACTGAATGCGGAACTACTTCTCCGATGGCAAGCGTCTATTGACAAACTTGTCCAGAAACGCCTAGCGTCTGTGCCAGTGAAATAATCCCTTTCTTGGTTGGAATTCGAGATATTATTCATGGAAGATTGCATTTTGGAGATTTACGGGGAATAAAGTATTACTTAAAAATAGAAAACAAAAGCATTTATTCTAGAAATAAAAAAAAAAGTGTTAAGTGAATTTGTAAATGAAAAGTTCATAGTTTTTTTAGATTTATCATTGTGCAGAAATGTAGGAAAAGTGTTTTGTCAGTGTAATTATCGGTTTGGTTTTAACTTAAAAATGGAAATATACACGCAAATAACCAAGTGGTGGATGTATTCTATGAAAGTATTCAGTTAAGGGACTATAGGACGAATAATCTTATGGTAACAAGAAAACTAAATTCTTGTTTATGTTAATACGGAAAGTCAAATTTAATCTTATAATCATCATCAAGTCCTGAAAAAATTAATTCGATATTGGTGTTAATGTTAAATCAGTATTAATCTTATTTTTAAATGTGTTTTTCTTCTTCTTAAAATATATCATAAGAAAAATACGTTTTATGTAGCGTTAGTTATCCTGGAATTATTTGTTTATTTCATATCTGAAGATATAAATATCTAAATATAATATAACATATGAATGTCATGAAGGTGGTTTTTATGAAATATTACAAAAATCCAACATTCACGTAAATGCTGGTGTAATTTGAAAATTCCATCTGTGGTAAAACATTTAACAGATACATTAACGGATATTTGCGGAGTAAATAGATGCGGTAATTACAAATGACAATATGACGCGGACATTCAATATGTCGCCAACTACCCGTATTGTTTTAGATAATGATGCAGCCTATCACCGAGAAAACCTGTCACGGTCTCGCTAGAGATATATCGCCGATCAACAATAAATAGGAAGTAGTGTGAACGTGATATCATGTGAATTATAGTACACGGATTGCCGGTTTGTAGAAAAAAGCAATTATATATGATGTTTTTTTCCTCTGTAGAGAGTTTTATTGAGATGGTATAGATTAACATTAACTGTTTATGGTATTGTTTTTATTCAATTAACATTAAGGGCGTTATGTTTTAAGCATATGGACTTCTATGTGTAATTCAAATATCAACAGTCATGTTACAAGTATAAAAGTATTCTTGCATGGATTTTTCAATAAAGGATCGTTTTTGTTTTACATGATATGACATGTTAAAGGTAAGCATACTAACAGCTGTTTCAGTACTATATTTACCTGCTAATTTACACATTCGTTTGTTTTGAAAATATTTATATCAGCAGATGCTTATTTTATAAGCTTACGTAAAATTGAATTACCATTAAGGTGACATGAAAGGAATCAACATTGGAATCAACATTATCTGACAAATCTTAAGCCATTTGGTTTTGTAACAGATATGAGGAAACAAAATAATATAGCTTACATATGCTGTTTATTTTACATTTTTGTTAAAATTACTTCATGATACATTATGACGCTTGATCCAACGTCAGATACATGATGCATTGGTGGTGTTTTTTCTGGATGCTCACGGCTTTATTACTATTTGTGTATGGTAACACATTGAGGCCACACATCGAGATTGACGCCATATTTGATGGAGACGATTATCCACTGTTCAATACAGTATTTTACCGCGGATTTAAGGAAAATAAACTTCTCGCTAAGCACAACCTTAGTATAAGTAAAAGAGCTGAAAATTTGGATGGAGATATTTATTCTTCTTTGAAAAAATTATGTGGGTTTTTCAATAATCGAGATGTAAGAGTTATTCTAGTTGTGGGGAAAGAGTCAACAATTCACACGGTTGGACAGGTAGCAGAACCCCTGGGTATACCAATATTGGGGTATACAACCGATACAGCTGCTGATAGATATGTACAGGTAAGATCATATAATGTTTGTTCTTGACCCGAAACATAGTTAAGCACACATACATAGTGCAAATAGTTTTGTATTCACAGTTTATTCGAAAACGTTGAAGCAATTTGCACTTATACAATATACAACTCAGGCTAATGTCCTTTTTACGGTACATGTTCCATTTGTTTTGTTTTCAATGAAACAATACTAAAACAAAGTTCAAAATCTTTTCCTTGTCAATAATAATAAAATAAGTTTAGACATGAAATGACTGATGTTGCTTATTACGTTGGAACCTATTATATAATGGATTGTGAGATTAAATGAAAATAACAGATCATTTATGCATGGAGGAATACAAGTTACAACACTTTAATATGTTGCTGGGTATCAGAAGAAATGTTAAAATAGGGTGGGCAACTGATTACCATGTGAAACATAAGTAGTGTATAGCTACCATCTAATTTTATGATCATCTGAGCTTAAGAATGTAAGTCAAAAGGTGTCATTTTATAAAATTATATATTTACCACTCATATTTGTATTTTTGTTAATGGGCGAGAATGCTCGTATCATGGCCCAATCCTTTTCGTCGAGTTTTGTATGCAACTATCAAGTTCAGACATGCATTTTTTATATTTAAGTTTTCTTTTAAAATGATTTAAATGTTTTTATGCTATATGTAATATATATTGTGATGGACTGATTAATTAGTTAATCTGTGACAAAATCATAATAAGATTGTAGATGACGTGACGAGACGAAGGAAAAAAATCTGAAGAATTAATCTGCTGAGTTATCCCCCTTGTCATATACAATAAAATATCAACTTCTGGCTGATTCATAACTTTTTGCTTTTATCCAAGTATAAAATATGTTTTAAAAAGTGAACAAAACAAAAACTCAATCTTTTAGAAGCTCGATTTAAAAGGATATTTAGTAGAACAAGTATAAACTATTTTATAAGATTTGACTAGTATCATTAATTATACATGGCAAGATCACACAACAAATTAAACCTTTTTTGAAAATTTATATCACTGAAACAATATCAGATGATTAAGTCACTGTCTTTGGGTACGCATTAATCAATAACAATGTTTTGACTGATACCCTAAGCTAGTTATATGTCGACTGAAATATTTTTACCCTGAAATGTATAAGGTCGGGGCTTATTTACAGATCAGATTGTATAAATGACTCAAAATTATAAAAAAGCAACATTCCTTGTCATATCTTTTAATTAACACATTGATAAATAAAAGCCTATTTAAAAATATAAAAAAGCATGGCTAAACCATGATAAACAGTGCCGAGATAGCTATGTGTCAGAACAGATTAAACAGTATCTCTATAATTCACAGTGTTTGTACCTTATGAATGTGCATTACAACCGTGTTGTCTGATTTGGAGTGTGCAGATATTGTACATGTTGCTTCTGATTGTCGTCAGTTCGTACAAATTGATTGCCATGATAAAATCGGGTGAATGGAGACTTGATAATTCTCTCAAATAAGATATAGAAATTATTTACAATGATTGATTGTAATAAGCAAAGTCACACATACTTCTTAAACTAAATGCATAAGGAAATATTTTTGGAGTAAAAGAAGATAGAGATTTTTTAGCCCTTAAACTGCTTGAAACGAAAGTAAATTATCCTTTATCACCGGTGTAGGACAAGGTCAGTCTGCACAGTCTTGCACTTTCACTTTCTTATAGTCTGATCAGACGTTTTACTATTGGTTGCTCAATTTTTGTATTTTTGATTTTGGAATCCCTGAAACCTAAGGACAGACTGCTCCAAAAAAGTCCAAAATCTATTGCACAATGTACAAAGATTCAGTAGGTTAAAGATAATGTTTGGAATGTCTACAAGATATACTCTAGAGAAATATTGTCTTTTCTGATTGTCCTATTTCAAACTAGGAAAAGTTATATATCTTGTTAAAAAAAGTCAGACACTTCATAAATAAATATTATGATAAATTATCCTTATATCTTTTGGTTTGGAGAAGTGAGAAGATTTTATAATTTTGGTTGTCAGTTTTTTATATCTTAAGTTGTAAACTCGATTGTCATTATTTAAACGAACATTGAAAATATCATTTATAAACCTGAAAATGTTGATATGCAATAGGAAATGGGTAGATCGGAAAGTAGAAAAAATGAGACTAAGAAAATGTAGATACTAAAATACATTGTTTGAAGATTAAAGTGACTCCATTATAGTTTGTTTTAAATGAAGGGATTGCCAATAGTTTTAGATTTGTGTACTTTTTGATGTGGTCATGACTAATTGCTTGTGTACAAAATATCATTTTTGGTCATTACTTATCATACTTCCCGTATACCTAAAAATATGTTGATGTTAAAATTAACCCACAATTAAACTTGTTACAGAGCTTTTATCTGAAAACCAGTGAAGGAATTGCACAAAATCTATCCTCAGTTAACTTCTGACTAGTACATATATGTCTATTATCTTTTGTACATTTTGCCAATTAATGTGCTCCATGTGATCACTGTAAGAATTTCAAATTTTATGTTTCAAGAATGTTTGACCTCAGTTTAGTTACTTTACCTTTTTATTTTGAATAAATTTCATTTTGGAATAATTGCATTTATAAGCACTCTCGTCATCTTTTCTTACTATCTAGTTGACCTGAACACGTTTGAAATATCACATATTGTCGAATCGTTTTAGAGATTTTTATAAGGTGAGGAGACATTAACTTTAAGTTATGAAATTTCATTCAGTATACATGTATTATAAACATATAGAGCCCGTTATTATGCAGCGAATTTAAAGTGTGCATGTGAAAACATTTGTCTAGTTAGAAACACCAAGAATATTGTGTCAATAAAATAATATTTATTTGGAAATAAGGCCTATATGATAATGTACACATACAAATGTCTTCATGCTCATTATCAACATTCCATTTTTGATTTGTTTCATGGGACTATTCAATATATGTTATGTATTGGCCGGTATATGTGCGTAGGACCTTTTCCATTATACTGTCGAGATGAAATCAATTAATGACAGAAGTATCAGAATATGCGAAATGAGCAAAGAAACAGTCTCATACAAGCTAAACTGACTTGTCGTTGAAAAGTTTACACGGTATCATTTTCCTCAATCAATTTGGATACAGAATGAATTTGTTATATACAATACAATGACATAGACAAAATGCATTCGTGTCCATGCAAAAATACAATTCATAACAAATTCATAACAAATTTACGAAGCATAGAATATGCATATTAAATGACATATCAATCGTTCACTACAAAACTTTAATATTGACACTTTTCAGGTAATGCTTTCTTTTTTATACCCATAATATGAAAACATGAGATTTATATTGGTTGCTGTCATGATTATGGTCAACTTTTCCAAATTTGAGTGTATATAATATTTTTTGGTAGTTGAATATGATAGTTCCTTAGCAGGTAATTAGTGTGTAAATCATCAAAGCAGTTACATATAAGTACAATATGATATTGATCGTCAACATATTGCCTTTTATACATTTTTTCTTCTTTGGATATTTGTACATCTTCTCTTTTGAATATTAAGTTTTCAAGTTTTAATATTTTTGTATATGAATCGAATTCTGTTACAAATCTAAGCCATTCAGATAATTCAGGTAATTCTCGAAAGAGTAACAAAACATTTATTTCCAATTCTTTAGACTTATGTCTCTTAATCTATTTAAAAACTAATTTACTAATATATTATCATTCTGTCCACCTTGGTTTAACCAAACATGGCTAAATCCGTACTTTTCCGAACAGTTTGTTTTACTGAATTAACCCCATTAACATATCCGTTTCAGGCATTATTTAGCACGATTACGTAACGTTTTTCAAAACTTCCCCGCTAAGAATATTCATTATTGTCAGTCAATATCATTTAGCTCTTTTAAAAGTTCTAACGTACTAACATAAGGTGAATACTAGCATCAGGCACAGTCATCTAGAACAACACAACTTGATGAATTCTGTTTTGTTCGCATAAACCTTTTACAAAGCATAATAATATACACGTTTCAGTTCATAAAATTGATTTAGACCCTAAATTTCAGACCCGTACAATAACTGTGGACAAATCTGAATATTAAACATTCTTAAAAAGGACAGTATTTGTTAACTGACCGTAATTATACACTGAGGTTAAAATAGATATCATTACACACAATGCGCAAGCCATAGAATTAAAAAAATGTTTTGTGTAAGTTTTATATCTTCATTTAATCCTCATAAAATTAAATAAAACATTTAAATGATTTTGTAGACAGGCGGAAGTGTCAAATCATTTAGGCAACATCATTAACTAATATTAACATGTATAAAAGTATCGGGAAGCTGTATGCGTAAAACAATAGTCTTTTCATTTCATCAATAAAAAACAGAACAAGATGGGACATGTTAAACAACCTTGTTTCAAGCCCATAATAAGCTCTTGCGAAATTACGACATACAGATGACTTAACTTCATAGATATTTTAAAGTGTTTTGAATAAATTTCCTTTTATACCTTTCCGTTTTAAATTCTCAACAAATGTTGTCTATCTATAGCGTCTATAGCATAAATCGACAAAAGGGAAATCGACAAAAGCAACATAACTTTTTTTGTCTTTTGTTTCTTAACGTACGATTGATAATTTATTTAAAGGTAAATGGACTTTCGATTGTTTAGTATTCTGCCTTTGAACTTTTCAGATATTATCTTAACCATTTGTGCAAAGAAACTGAGCCAGAGTGCAACAATATATTTTTGTTATGATATTTTGTAACGAAATGCCCCTATAGCTTTCGACATTATTGTCATCACATTTCTTAGGTATTGTCACGATATTTGATTATTACAGGATATATTTTGGCTTGTACACAGCGTGAAACTCATATTGGACCGGCCTGGTAGCTCGTACATTATATTTCCCATGCTGTGTTCTTATCCATAAATATCATCGCTTTGAACAGTATGGCATTAAATAACATATGATTAC